GGGAATTTTCGAGAATCTGCCTGATACCGGGCACTTCCGGACGCAACACAGTCTGGACCGTTCCCCGGTGTCCAATTGTATGTGATTGAGGAATCGACCCAAAATCGACCTGGACTCGGCTCGGAAGGCTTGCCGCAGTTTCGGACTGTGGATCAATCTGGAACAACTTGAATTGTATCGGGTTGGTATCGGGGGGACGAAGTTCACCATCGAGAACCCGGCAACCTTCAAATTTCCTCTCGTTCACCGATACGCATCGGCCTCTATAACTTTGCATCCCAGGCATCTCCACCGTCGCCGGGACCGCGGTAATTTGTGCGAGATCGAGATTCGCGCGCGTCCTGTCGCTGGGTATATGTCGGTGTGATGAATCTCCGACTCGAACTCCTTGGACTCAGCCTCGTCCTCCACTTGCTCGCTTCCGTCTAGCTCTCACTCCCCCTCATCCCCGCGCGACCTCATACCAGATCCTTTTCCCTCCTCCAGCCCATTTCCTTCCTTTGTGAAAGAGATCGTCCCAAGAAACGGGAATCGCATCCAGTTGCAGCCGACGTCACCCTGGGGCCTACACGCAAGTTGCGCACTCGAATCGCCGACCCGCGCCGCGCCGTTTTGCGGTGTATCGTACACCCAAACCATTTACTATGAGCTTCACGCCCGCGTAGCTGCCTGCTTGCCTTTCGATGCCTGGCTGTAGGGGATTTGAGTTGGAAGTTTTGGTTGCGCACCCGACGCCTCGTGCACACCTGGAGTAGGGATATTAGCCCAGAGAGGAAAGCACAGAAATCAACCAATACGGGAGACGGTGATTACCAGACATCGGCTGGTGAAGAATGCGAATTTCTAAGTCGACCCGGTACAAAGCCAAAACCATGGAGGTCCATCTGCCGTCCCTCACGTGTGTAACGCGTGTTCGTGCATGCTCCCGACCTTGGGAACGGGTCGGACGTGCCAGCGGCACTTTCCTCAGTGGTACGCGATTCACGCGATGACCGCATGACCCGCCGCCGTTGAATTTGGGGTGGTCGGGCTTGACAGGGCTCGGACGGCGATCTAAATGTCACCGTTCAATATTCACGGTTCAACACAGTTAAGCGACTCCGAACGCATCATGCTTTTGCCTCTGGCAAGAGTCCATATTTTCGGTTCGCTTCAACCCATAATTTTCTCTTCGATTCTGAGTCGAAATCCAATGGCATATTTTGACACGCTCAATAATGCAGGAAGCAGGCGGGATTCAAGCGCGGTGTGATCCAGATTATAAGGAGCTTCGCGGGATGCTCGGCGTGGATAGCTGGGCAATCAAAGAAACACGGAGAAAAAAGGAACAAGGAAGACACCGCTTGAAGGACGCTGTGTGTGCGCTTCCGTAAAGACTTTTTTTCTTTCTTTCCTTGCTTCGGGAAAAACTAGCGAGCGACACATAGCTCTCCCGTGCAGGAATGTGGATAATTCTAATCAGCACCCCCCGGTGCTGATGTACGGGGGGTTGCTGCTATTCAGCAACCCGCAATTGTGTAAGCTAAAGATAAGATTGTCCGTACGTTCGGAAACAGTCGCCGGGTTGCAGTGAGAAAGAAATGCCGAGAACGTTGCCGGGCCTGCCGAGCGATCGCCGTTCGCGGCAGAACATTACGCAGACAGAGTTGGGTGATTATGTTACCAAGGGATACATGGTATATATTCCCAGATACATGGTATATATTCCCAAAGTTCAATTGCACATTGTGCGGCTCTTATGAGTCCACCAGGCGCCAGGCGCACCTCCAGTCTGGTGCCATCAGTTGCGATCACATTCCCTATGCTCGGGAGACTCTTCCATACAGTCTCCGATATCTATAGTCATCCAGGCACCTGCTTGAGTATGAAGATGCGCTCAGGGTCTCAAAATTGAGTCCACCTGCAATCAGACCTGTTGAGAGGCATTCTACTCGGCAAACCTCGGCAGGTTCATCGAACGGCTACCTAGCCGGCGCGATCGCTTCGGGGGTTGCTGAATAGTTTTTTCCTATCCAGCAACCCCCGTACATCAGTACGGGGGGTTGCTGATCAGAATTATCCCAGGAATGTAGCCCTTGCCAACATCTTCCTTTCTCTGGAGCGGCTGCGCTGATGAAGATGGACGGGCATTGATACTGCAAAAGATGCCCGCGGACTTTGAATGTACTAGGAAAGTTGGTGGATTCTATTAGTTGCGCCGCACACTTGCTGAAACAGATAAAAAACACCGCGCACCCACCGACCAGCGACTCGGTATACCCCGTACATTCTCGACGCCGCGGCCAGCCCAAGTCCCGAGACGCGCGTGCGATGCTGCGCGATGCGGGGCACGGCCGCCGGTATCTGACGGAACTATGATCTACTATGATTCAAATTGTGGTGCCTTATAAGCGGATAATTCTAATCAGCAACCCCCCGTCCTGGTGTACGGGGGGTTGCTGCTATCCAGCAACCCGTAATTCTGTAAGCTAAAGATAAGATTGTTGGTGAGAAACGAATGCCGACGAGGCTGCCGAGCATGCCGAGCCGTCGGCCTTCGCGGCAGGATGGTACTCTCCAAGATATACGTGCTTGCGGTACACGGAGTTGAGTTTTTATAGTGTGTATCCATTGGCAATATAAACACTCAAGGTCAAGCTCCTACGCCCCTCTCATAAGCCCACCAGCCGCACCTCCAATCTAGTGCCATCAGTTGGGATCACATACCCAATATCCAGGACGGGAGTCCGATATTTCTTCCGAACAGTGCTCCAGGCACCTGATTGAGTATTTAAATGCTCCCACGGGTCTCAAAATTGAGTCCACCTGCAATTGGACGTCGGTGGGGGAGGCATTCCAGATAACTAAACTCGGCACATATCGGCAGGTTTATCGGAAGTCCTATCTAACCGAGGTGATCGCTTAAGGGGGTTGCCAAATAGAAAAAAACTATTCAGCAACCCCCGTACACCAGCAAGGGGGGTTGCTGATTAGAATTATCCCTTATAAGCGACGCCAGAACTCGACAAGCATTTGCCGCGCTTGTTTTGGAGAGGATACAGTAGGGGATAGGGTACGCGTGCCCACACAACGCCTTCCATTCGTTATGTAAATTTAAACACATTGAGAGTCGGCAATATCGGCGTGTCGAACGTTCGGTTTGGACCGGATCAGCACTGACGAGTCGGGTACGCGGATGCGCGGATAAAACACAGCAGAAGTCGAACAAAAGTGACCATCGAGTACAAGGTGAGCCAGGGGATGTCAAGCTCTTCAGGCGCTCATAGTCATAGTCGGGATTTTGAATGGTACTTCGAGGGTTCCGAGAGATATTTGCGTTCAAGGGTTATTCTATCCGTCTCAAAGTTGACGCGGAGCAGTATCCTGCATATTGTCAATCAAAAAGCCAAGCGACGCCAGCAGACAAGCATTCGCCGTCTTCGGTTTGGAGAAGAAACCAGTAGGAGATAGTTTGCACACACACAACATGAAATAGCATTGCTTCCTTCGCGGGAGGCTCGGCAAGTTCGGCATGTTGAAATTTCTGAATTTGGGCGGGATTCGCGCTCACGCGTGTGAGGCACGTACGGGGAGATGTGAAACATCTTATAGTCCATCAAGCGTGAGCTGAGGTTTAGATCGTTCAACCCGACGGCCGACGGGCAAGACTTGAGAAACACATATAATCTGTGGACCTAGATCTCTCCCAGTAAGTACTAGGTTGAATCATGAGAAATAGCAACCTTGAGTAGTGCAATCCGCGGACTCGACGACATGGCAGGTTACCAAGACGTTGGCATCATGAAGGATGCCGCCAAGTTCTGCTTCGCTCTCGAGGCTGGATGTTGAGATTTGCCAGCAACGAATCGACATCACTCGAGTATCCGCGTAGGTTGAACATTTATCCAGGGACATTACGCCTGAGTGACGCAAACGACGATGCGGGGAAAGGCGCCCGGGCGGGGATCTTATGACATTGGTATCTTGTAGGTATCCGTCCTCGGGTCGGATATATTTAATTATAGCTGTGAAGTTCAAGCGACGACAAGCACTTCCCGAGTCCAATCGGGCTGTGCCCCACTCCTTTCACCGTCGCGACGTGGCTGGGGGTTATGGGGATACGAGATTTAGAGGTAGATTCATGGCTTTTACGCTCTTTTACGTGCATCTTGAGCCAGAGGGACGGAAGTACGAAGTGATGGCTCCGGACAGGTTCTCAATTCGCTGAATCCGGACCAGTGGTTTGATTCCTGCCTGGGTAAGGTTGTTACAAGTTCAGCATGTCTAGCATTATTGAAGATACTCCGGAGCTGTCCAGGTTCGACTTGAAGCTTGAAACTCCGGGCTTTGCAGTGCTTTGTGAGTAGACCGCGACACACGTTCGTATCCGAGTCTGCGGGCATGTTTAAATTTATTGGGCGGGATTCGACTTTCAAGGTGAGACAGACGGGGAAAGAAATTTCCATAAGGGATTAGAAGTGAGGAGTGTTCTTTGAGGCCGCACAGTAGCAACTGCGGCTCCTCGATGCATCGAGAGATCGAGGTCCAGACGGTCGGCACGCTCGGCATGTTGAAACTTTCAACTTGATGCAGGGACTTTCTGCAAGGAGATTGGGGAGTAAAGAGGGTTGAGAAGGCATGCTGTGAGGCAACTGTGAGAGGTACATTATATGCTTACTGCAAGGAGATGGAGTGGGTGAGGAGAGAAACATGCACACTGCTCCAACTTCTCGAGTTCCTGCACCACTGAGATTTGAACAGACCTTGGGTTTTCTAGTTGAGCTCCGTACTGCTGGACTCAAGCTGGACTCTGATTTTTCAAGCAGGGGACAAAATTAACCCCAGCGTCGGACGGGTTTGTGTTATGTTCACGGCGTTGGCCCCTCGTACGCGCTCTCACTTTCCGCTCCAACAATTTCAAAGCTTCACCGCCTCTTCGCCTCAGCTCCTCTAGTTGTTTAAGCGCACAGCTCCTCGCTCATCATATCCGACGGCACCTATCGGCCTTTCGACATGTCAATTGCCCCTTGGCCCAGTTGGTGAAGGCGCACGACTGTTACATTCTGGTAACGATTGTTCATCGTGAGATCGCAAGTTCGAACCTTGCAGGGGCAGCTTCTCTTTTGTTTTTGATTTCCATGGCGGATTATGGGAATTTCCTTGACTTCGCATCTCTCTCGGTGTTTACAATACTTACTGTAGACAATGACCGAAAAAAAATGTTTTTTTATTCGCTGAGTTCCGAGTTTCCGAGAATGAAATTAGTCTCAACAGACTGAGGGCGGGTGTACCCGTGTTGGTGGCGCAGCTATAGGATACAAATGACAACGTGCCTCTTTGAACATGGGCGAAGCCACCTTTACCCGGATTAGTTGGGAACCTAAATGACTGTTGGGAAAGATTTTCAAACTCAGACCAAAGAGGAAAGGGAAGGGTAAGGCCCCACCGTAAGGGAGAGACAGATACGATAGAGTGATTGGTACATGTTCCGTGGCACGACGGAGGATCTGCGGCTCTTGATTTGATGTAGAATGTATAAACTGGATCGACCAGGGGTGGAGCAAGGGTGGAGTCATTTGAAGGATGGTGTGCGGAGAGGAATCAGAGACTCAGCTTATTAGTACGAGAACAGTACTCTGGTATTCGAGTGGGAGTGACCGAGTTGTAGATGGGATGGTGCGCGAACATTGCCTTGCTACACAAGTAGGCACAACTGGCACTTGGAAGTCGAAAGGAAATCACTTTCGCGCCGGCCTCGGCAGTCTCCGCACCGGCACGCTCGGCATGTTGAAATGTTGAAACTCCTTTTTCGGCGTTCGGGCGGGATTCTGATTTCAAATGAACAACGATCATCTGAATCTGCTGAATCATGGGAGAAGAAGATTGCTATACAAGACGAATCATGAAATAGACACAGAAGGAGATGCGAGCCTCGACCTGCCTTTCTGCGTGTCCGCGGATCTGGGGTCCGGAGTCCGGGAAGGAAGGGGAAGGAAGACAGAAGACAAATTGAGACGGAAGTACGTTTAGGCTTTATCTGGCGGTAGATCGCGGTCCGTTTTCTGAACGCGGGAGAGTGAGAATCGATGGGATGGGTGAGAGGATGCTCGGATACGTGCGTGATTATAAGATCAACCGTTGGTTGCCAACTACGAGTAGTGAGCAGCTGAGCGCTAGCGGCGACAGAAGGTGCGATCCACTTTACTTTCTCCCGCGATGCCCGCTCGAACAAGTCTAGAAAACAACGCAGCTTCTTCGATTCGCGGGAAGTGCCGCTCGGCATGTTCAAATTCCAACTCCAACTCGAACTCCGATTGCGATCCAACAGCGGGATGGTCGAAGGCGGGATGACGGAGCGTGCTGATAATCGGGCGTAAGGCACAAGTTTAATTTACGGCGCGGAGGATCGACGTCGGGGCGCCGCCGACTACGGTGCATTTCCTCAGGCGGCTATAATCCGTGTATGTAACGCTCCCGCTGATCCCGTTTTGAGCAGGATTTTCAGGGGGTGTCCAAGCCTGCTCATTCGCGGCTGCTTGCAACGTGTCTAAATTCGAGTGAGCAGTGGATTCAGGAAGCACTTATCGAGTCCTAGGATACATTGGGCGCGGAGTCAACTTGAAGCATGCAATGTACCCAACCAAATTTGTAATTTAGGTTCGAGACTAGGAGCGAGTTGTTCGGGCAAGCTTGCACGGCGAGTAAGGAGAGAATAGGGATATGGGCAGGTAAATCGCGTCTTCTAGAGGAGGTGGCGCGAGGTCTAGCTCCTTCCAAAAAAAACTTGAATTGGATCGACGCGAAGCCGGGGTCGGGCGGTATCAGTTGGGAGAGCCTGAGCATGAGGGAGAGGGAGAGGATAGCAAGTATAGCGCTGGGCAAGGACGCTCGAACGAGAATTTACTATCAGTGCCGGGACAGCGTTAGCGTCTTGGAGAGTGGGATGCGTTTGAGGTCAGTGTTCAAGTTGAACCACAGCGCAGAAAAAATGTCTTGATTTCGCAGACAGCAAGTAGGCTGCCGACTTTCAGACAACACAAGAATGAGCCGTACAGGACAATTGAACGTTCAACAGAGGATCGCCGCACCGATTTCCCAATACATCCAACCCTCAGCATCCGGCGGAACCTGCCGATCCCGATGCCGAGCGCGGCATGTTGAAATTTCGGGATCGTTCACGCTGAAGGAGATACTCGAGTTGCGGGCTTATGACAAGGGATTCGGATGGACGTAAGTACATTTAGGCATTACTTTTGGACTCTCCCCCGCCATTGGCCAAACGGTCGGGCGAGTTCGACGATTGAATAACAACGCAGTTGGGACTTCCTCCCAGAAATTGCGCTAACTCATTAATATTCGCTGGTAGTCGGAAGCCTAGATTACCGGTTGGGAAAAACTTTGAATTCGAGGAGCGGAAGGAGGATTGTCGATGATGGAGGAAGGGATGGCTATCTGCGAGGTGGCGAGGATTAATATTTTCGAAACGGCCATCTCATTTTGGATCTTACTTCTTTGAATAGGATCGACGCGAGTCAACTGTCACGACGCCGGGGTAACTAGCAATGGCGCGCGTGCTGCTGGTGGTTGGATCTTTGAATCTTTAGATTTGCATCAGAGGGTGCGTTGAAGGTTGAACTTAGACGAAAGACGAAAGACGAAGGACGAAAGACGACACCATCATGACTGATGAGTCGATGTCAATACACCGAGGACGGGACGGATAAACGGAGCGCAAAGAACTCCATACCGTCCGCAGCGCGTCTTCCACGAGTTACATATTCATCTCGCCCATTGACAGTAGAGTGAGATTACGGACCTCGTCGACAGCAACCACTGAGCAACAGGACCTGACCTCTGTTCTGGAGTGCGACTTGCTCGGCTCGAAATGGATTGGATGCGCTGCGCATTGCGCAAGGTGTGTTTATTCTACGGTCGGACTGTTCAAGGGGAGTTAATATTGACGTACTGCGGCCCGGAATGCATGGGGGTAGATCCGAGTCTAAGACTAGGATCAAGTTTGGACGACCGGATGGCGACGGATCAGGATCGCAGGGAAGCGGGGCTGAGGTGGTAGTGAGTGCTTGATGCTTGGGGCTTGGTGGATTCGGACGGGATTCAGACTCGGAGGATTGACATAGATTTCGAACGTGCCAGTGTGAAGACCAGATTATTGCGTTACGAGGGATGAACGGATGAACGAAGCAACACGACGGAATCGACATAATACAATATACCCTTGACTACGCCACAATCTTGGACGAGTATCGAGCGCGTCGACGTCCTTACTCGATAATCTGAATAGGATCGACGCTGGAATGAGTACGCATGCGCATTAAGCGTGGAACGCACAGATTGGAACGCTAATAGATAATGTGAATAGGATCGACGCTGGAATGAGCATTACGCATGGAACCTGGAACTCACAGATTGGAACGCACAGATTGATTCGAAAGAATAGAATGGAATGGATTGGAAAGACTACTCAGGCTGGAACAGAATAGCGCGTGCATTTGGTTGAGCCTAGGAGGATTCGTTTGTGCGGATGTAGAGTGCCCGTTTGGATGTCTTGTCCGCGTCAATTGGGGTGTGGACAGTGGACAGTGCACAGTGGACAGTGGTGTCGGTGGATAATCGATAGTGAGCCAGGTTGGGAGAGCCGATTGTTGCATTACATTGTCAGGAATGAACGAACCCAGTTGAGCGGAAGAACCCAGTTGAGCGGAATGGACGCAAGGTCGCCACAATCTTGGATGGGTATCAAACGAGGACGCGGTTGCTCATATCGACGCAAGGGATGAATGGGGTGAATAAGCACGGAGAGGTATACATAGATTGCACGCACAACAACCAAGGACGCCACAGTCCACTCGGATATCGATGAGTATCTGAGTAGGATTGACGGATGGGATGGATGGGATGGATGGGATGAATAGGATCGACGCATGAGATGGATACGCACGGAATAAAATAAGATAAGATAGAACGGACGCGTGGGATGGGTATGTACCGCAGTTCGCCACGATGGTGTGCACCGGTCTTGGGATGCAAGCGATTGAATAGGATCGACGACGAACGGTGGTGGACGAGATAACAATTGCAAGCAGGGGAACGGCGTTTAAATTGACAGCTTGACACTGGAATTAAATTTCAAAGCTGGGTGGGGAAGTCCGAAGAACTGGCGTGCAGAAGGAAAGCAGCTGAGAGGCGTGGTCGTTGTCCGCCGTTGAAGCGAACTTGCCAGATAAAGTAGAACATGCACATAGACCGGGTCACCCAGGACCAAGGTTCGCCAGGATGGTGTGGGGACCACCATTCTTTGAGTGCAGGCGATTGAATGGGAATCTGGGATCGACGGCTCGACGACGAACGGTGGTGCGCGGGAGCGGTGGGACGAGATAGCCAGAGATAGCAGCGTAACATTAACAAGTGGCATGATCTTCAAGTCGGCTTGTTTGCAGAGCGCTGATTGTTGAGAGGCAGCAGGTAGAGAAGAGGGCGCGTTGCTGAGCGAGCAAGCCAACGTCTTGGCTTCAAGAATCAAGTTGAGGCCGACAAATTCGCCGTTTGGCGCCTGAGTCCCAAGTCCCAAGCCCGATGCAATGATTATACAGTGCCGGTATCACAGTCCTCTTGAGGCAGCTGCACAAAAACCACGACCACCAACGACGATTTACACGGAAGGCCGGTCGCCACGATCTTGCATCGGATGGTCATGGGTATCGAACAACTGGAATCAAGCATTCAACGAACCCAGCGGACGGACTGGACGCGCTCGCCACAATGATCGAGGGCGCACTTGGTTGTATCGGATCGACGCACGGGATGAGTAAGCTGGATTAAAAAAGGACTTGGGATGGACGTGCAATCAACTTTCAAGTCGGTTCGCCACGATGGTGTGGGAGTCGGGACCACGACGCGAATATTTGAATGGGATCGACGACGAACGGGGGTGCCACGCGGGAGCGGTAGGACGAGATAACAACTTGAAGGAGGAGTGGTGAACGTTGTTGGTAGACAGCGGCTGCAGGTTGAAGGGCTTTAAGCTTCAAGGTTGAGACGTAGAAACGTCGAAAGTCAAAGCGTTGCTGGACGAGCAAGCGACTATCCAAAGTAGA